TTCATCCGACTGCACGTATTTTGTTTCCTATGATTTTTAACATGTTAAAATTATTTTTTTTATATTTCATTAAAAAATATTTATTTCAAAAGTGCATATCAAACAACTTTTGAAGTCGACTGCTTAATATAATAACTAATACAAAACCTTCGACAAACGTTAAAGTCGACAAAAATTCCTGGAATATATGAACCGCTTTTGAAATACGTTTTAGGATACAATTTTGTAGTCTACAATTTTGTATGATAAAAGTGATTTCCTAATTCATTTATAAAGAAATTTAAAACTTACATTATCCTAAATGCCTATAACATGCATATGAACAAACTCCACAATGTTTGTCTGTCTGTCACCCGGTAGAATGCCGCACCCTTTTGACATGACAAATATTTTTGCCACTCGACACCATCCGTGCCAGTTCAAAGTTACGCGTATCCTTTTTAATGATCATTTCTAAAATAAAACATCTTAATTTGACGTAAGGACTATTTTGAAAATCGTTATTCGTGTTTACATTTTTTTGTGTTAACTTAGGTACTAAATATAGAAGCAAAGGCACACGTTGGTTATTATAAAAGAAAGTGATTTCATCTTATTTTAGTAATTATTAAATTAAAGATTTCTGTTGATTTAGATTTTTTTAAACTCTTATGTCTTAAACGCCTTAAATTTATCAAGTCTCAACTACCATGATATATAAGGGATCAGATTCAGTAAAATATAAAGTTACAGTAAGTTGGCTCTATCTATATCATAGATAAATAAGTAAAATTATCTAAATGAATATAAGAAGGAGCCAGCAAGTTCTTGTCTGAATTTATTTTATCAGTTCTTCTCTGATAGAACTCTCAAATTCAGAACTGCTAGTTGTTTAATATTTGCTGAGATCCATTTTAAATGAGAGACTTCTTTCTATAGATGTCTCTATTTAAAGCGCTTTTAAGCAGTGCATATGAAAAAATATAATAAAGATAAAGTTTTTTTTTTGGTCTAAAATGATGCTATGAAAATTTATTCAGCCGCCTTGTGGTTACTGCCTATATCAAGAACACATGTCCAATAGGAACCATCAAGCGAAAAGTGTAACGAACCAGGATGTGAGTCTCGTTAGGAAATTCGATATTTTTGCACCGAATTAGGGTATATTGTAAAAAATGTATTTTTCTTACAAATCGTTCGCGCATGTGCGTTGCGGTTTTGAATTACTCTATCGGGAGAATTCTTTTTTTTTGTTACCCGTCACCTTTTCCCGTGAAATATTGAATCGTAGAAAGGGTCAGTGTTTATTGTTTTTTTTTGGCGTGTCAAAAATTATTGCCTCTTGTGTCAACCCTTTCGTATCGAGTGACCCTTTCTAGAATTAACAATAAATTGTATTGTAACTCAATTAATCAATATTATTGTGACCTTTTTATTTTAAAATTGGTTTTATTGTTAAAGGTCATGAGAATATGTTTTTCTTCTTCTTACTTCACTAACTTCTCTTAGTCGATATAATTATAAAAAATGTATAGCATTATTTACATGTTAAGAATGACTGAAATAACGTATTTTTTTTATCCAATTAGTTACACTTTATAAATAGTAACTCTCAACAGGATGTAACTCACTTTTAATATTGTACGACAATTCTAAACGCATCTTCATGCCTGGCGGTTTTCAATTAGTGCCCATTTCGTATTAAAACTAAAGCAATCCTCACCGGACACAGCTGGGATATTTCTTAGCACTATTTAGTTTAGTTCTGTCTTGTTAGTCATTCATTACATTACTAATGTCATACAGCAATAACAAAACGCTTTACAGCATTGCATGTATTTAATTCTCGGCTTTAAACCTTCGTGGTAAAAGCTTTTAACTTTTTTCTTAAATGTAAATGCTTACTGGCAAGCATCCAATATGGACGGTGCCGCGCGAGTGAGACGTCAATCAGCTGTCAACATCGTGTCTTGACTTCCTATGCGCTCCTGGTACATTGAAATGTAAGTGTATTCAATTTGGTGTTTTTGTCTGTATGTGCGTGACAGGTTGAATAAACTGAATGGACTTTTGATAAATTAATAAAAACTAAAAACCCAATTACTTTGATTATAAAATTTTCATATTAAGTTGGTTTTTCCCCAACTTAATATGAAAATTTTTTCGAATATAGTAAAACAAACTAAAAACAAAAAACAATAAACTACAATAACCATTAACTTGTAAAAAATTCTTTCTGGCTATAACATTTCTATCTGACTGGTTTCGGTATCATTAAAAAGTATTAATTTTAAAGAAGATAACTTCAAATTCAAATTAGGAAAATGTGATATTTTGATGTCAAAGATACACGTTGCTCCGTTCACCTTGTTACAGATGAAATGGATACCATTTTTGAAAAAGTGGAGCAAGGTCGGCATGTCAGTAGCTACGACATAACTGAAGAACTGGGTATTGACCACAAAACAGTTTTGCCGCATTTGAAAAAGCTGAGTACACAGAAAAATTGGTTATTTGGGTATCTCACGAGCTCACTGAAAGAAGTCTAGTGAAACGTGTACTCATTTGCAATTCTTTATTACGTTTCATTAAAACCGACCCATTAATGAAAAACAAGCTAATAACTGGTGATAAAAAGTGAATCACTTACGACAAGAACGTTCGAAAAAGGTTGTGCTCAAAGTTCGGTCAAGAAGCAAGAAGTTGAGAGAAAGCGGCCAGAATTAATCATCATGATAACGCTAGACCTCACATATATTTTAGCAAAAATTAAGAGTGTTTGGTTGGGCGGTGTAAATCCATCAGCCGTATAGTTCTGACCTTGCACCTTCAAATTTCCACCTATTTCATTCTCTTCGGAATTTTTAGGCTGTATCAGAATATGTTTGTTTTAACATCACGCGAGGACTGCCAAAACCCAGTCGAGGTTTTTCGACCATTTATTTATAGGCGTTATTTTGCGGAAGTCCATCGTTATAACCGTGAAGCTATGATATATACAACTTCCACACCCAGTCAGTTTTCGCAAGGTTTGATGTGTACCGTCCGCATACAAATTTACGTGTATTAACTGTAACAAACCTCGCAAAATCACTACTCTAGACGTGTTTCGCCCCTCCACGGAGCATCCTCAGGAGTTGTTGGCACTGTAAGGTCTCTGGTGTGGGTGTGGAATTTGCTAAATATTATAGTTTCACGGTAATGAATTTGTTGATAAGCATAATAGCTCGTATAGAAGGACAATTATGTGTTTACATACGTACCTGCTAACGAAAAAGAGGTAAACTTCGCTCCGCAGGTATTGCACCCTCACCTTCATTTACCTGCGGGTTTCGAACTAGTAATCCTAATCTGATTAGTGAAATTGTATTGTCGATTTTGTCGTTCAATTAATTATAATAATGCATAAGAATCAGATGTTTACAATATATACTCATTGGTTGAATCAGTGGCAAAAGTAATGAAAAAAGCGAAACGAAATTAGTTGGATAACATTCGGGTTAATCAATTTTGTATAAAAAATAAACTTTTTATGGTAACTTTGGTGTTTGAACTTTGTATAAACGAAGAACAGTTAAAGCATTCAATTCGTCTCATAACTTTTATTCTTTTACATAAAAATATAAGGTACTTAACTCAAGTTCGTAAAAGCTACATCCTGACAATATCTAAGTATATAATGAGCCGATCCCGCGGCTTACCGCATTTAACCGTTCACACGAATATCAAAAATGATTTCTGAAATCATTATTTACCAAACACCAACATTCCGATTTATTTATTTTAACTGCTATTAAAATTTAATGAAAATATCGCAATTGACAAAACCCTGCATTTATGGGAAAAAATAAATGTCTTTTGTAGAAAAAAAAACGTTCCAAATAGACTTTTAAAATTTTATTTGGAAATTTAAAAATTATTATTTTAAAATGTTTCGTTACACTTAAAGTGTATATTTTATGAACCTTATTGAGATGTAACTACTAAATAAAAAGCTTCATAATAATATGGACCAATTTATCAAATAATAATAATGCAGTTCAAAGGTTATGCCAATTTTCTCAAGGGTCTATGAAACCCTTTGTGTAAAAAATATATATTTCAAAATTTCGAAAAAACATTGTCAAAGCGCCAACAAAAAGGAAGGGTTAATCCTGACTTTTTTATTACAATGCGTTTATGAATTACAGTCTATTACTATAAATTCATTTACAAATAAGGTCACCGTCTGAATAAAGTCTTGAGACGCAAAAAAAATACAAAAACACAAAAAACTATAAAATTGTAGTTTGAATGAATTCTCTCACAATAAAAATATGTGAAATAAAGAACTATAGAATATTATAGAAAAACTATTCAATACATACCGAGGTGTATTTCAAATAATACGTTTTAAATTGTGTTAACAATTCATTCTTTAAGAAATAGAGTACTTATTATCTTTACGTAGACATTTTTAAACAAATATCAAAGTTTACTCTTTTAAAACACCTGTGCTGTAGCCAGTATTTCTCATAAACACTTTATTTACACAACGGTAAAGTTAATGCGTTTGTTATTAGTAGTATTGTAAAAGCAGACAATTATATAATAACGTGTCAGTGTGAGTGTTAATTTATTTATTCTTTTCATGTACGTATACGATAAACAAAAGTCAAATTATATACAGCCTTACGTCAGTAAAATGTGACGTCGTAAAAGTATTCAGAACTCGTCATAGCTAAACAAATATGTTTCGTCCGTGCTTAATTGCAATTTACATGTTAATTTCCTGAAGAATTATTGTAATAAACAAATAAAATTTTAAAAACAACTGTTTGAAACATTTCTCAAAAGTAATTTTCCTTTTTAATAGTTCTTCTTCCGTCTACTTTAAGATTATTTTGCTTCGCATAACTTCAGTTGAGTGTTTAACGTCTACTTATAAAAAATTGACGACATCCAATGTCATATATTTATTCAGATGTTAATTATAATATTATTGTCTGTTCCTATAATTTAAGTGCGTGTCAGGAAGTTTTGGAAGTATTTTGTGGCTCATACGCTGTCGTGGCGGTTTTGAATTCGGTTGACGTTTTAGGAATAAAAAATGAGGATTTCCAGTGAGTTTATTTTTATTTTCTTTAAATATCGTTATAAGAAAAACAAAATTTCTTTAAGGAAAAGTATTTTTTTGGGCTTATTTTTAAATTTATGATTTTAGACTTAGCTGCCTTTTGAGGTGTTAATTTCGATTTTCTTTATAAAACATCACATACTATTATTTTTTATTACAGTTTCATTCCTACTGCTGGTGGTCGTGATGCTGGTTACAATGACGTCAGCGTTCACAATAGAATCACATAAGTGTGCAAACTGCTTCCGTCAGAAGTATGAGCCAGTCTGCGGCGAAAGACGAGGGACCTTCTGGAATATGTGCGAGTAAGTTTAAATTAGATCCTAGTATTTTCACAATCACCGTGATAGGTATAACACACGAACACAAAATCACAACATCAAATCACTTGTGATAAGTTACTGCACCATAGTGAGAAATATATGCACCATTAATAATGAGGCATTGATATTTTGTCGAGCCGTTGACACATATAAATTGACATTATAACAAATCCATTGGAATCAAGAAACATATATAATCTTATTGGTTGGAATATAAAAGCCTTCTCGAATTAAAAAAAAATGAAGAATCTGTCTGAAAACAGCATGGAAGTAGAGTAGTGATGTCTAAACTCAGTGCTGGTGATTTACAATAGGTTTTATTTGATAGCGCGAAGGCGTCTGTCAACGACAAATATAGGGACAGATGTGGTGTTTTGTGCAACAAAACTATTTAATTAATTCTTCGTAAACCATTGCTATTGTAAGAGCTCTTCGTGAGGAGTTCGGCTACAGAGTGACAGATACATAATTTATAATTCTTACCTTTAATTATTATTATTTATGACCCGTAAATTCGTAATGCCCCGGAACTTTGTCTAAATAACACCCTCGTGACGTCATATGAAAATAGAGAGTATATAATATATTTTTTTATTATAAATAAATTATTAATTAATTATTGAAATATTTATGAATAATCCCCAAAATATTGTTATGATAATTTATTAACTCTTAGTCTAATAATTTATTGCATGAATTTTTGGAAAAGAATCTATTTATATCTAAATATTGAGGTACATATGTGGAAAATAAAAATTAACGAAAAAATAGCATTTACTTTGTAATAACGCAATATTAAACAGAAAGGACATATTTTTAAATATAATCAATAGTGCTAATAAAGTAAGATATATTAGATATATTTATTATTTGTGAAATTATGTTTACTTATTGTGAAAATCATAATAGTAGTTGCTTTTTTAGTCAACCACAATAAGTTACAACGAAACTTAACAATACCAATCGAAACTAACAAAAACATAACAAAAATGATGTGTAATTGCAACAAAACCCTAATCAATAAGTGTACTCGTCAACCAGTGTTAATTTCTTAACTGTACTGATTTTTAACGCAATTACGTCATCAAAATGGCGGCCAGGTATATAAGGAATTTGTTTTAATTTTCTTTTTTTAATTTCAGATTGAAATGCAAAAATGTAACGTTTAAGCACACTGGAGAATGCAAAAACGAAGATCTACTTGAGAACGAAAGCAATGATTACATATTTAAATAATCGGTTATCAGTTTCGTTACAACCATATTGCAGTACATTGACAACTCTTTTGTTCGATACACATTCAAAAAGAATCTGGTGTTAACGGGTGCACAGCGGTTATTGGCGAAATTGTAATGGAGAAGCCTTAAGGAAAAGAATGGAAAAATATTTATATAATATAATAAATAAGTAGTCTAGGAAATCGAGATTGTTTTATTTCAATAGAAATATATTTATTTATAATATGTGTTTTCTTATAATATAGAAATATATTATAAGAAAACACATTTTTAAGATAATAAATATTACAGTTGTTCGGTGGTCCTAAAATGTAATAAACTAAATATATTTTTAAAGCATAAATCTAGTTTAAACGAAATCTATCCTCTATAATAAAGAACTAGCTGTTTGCCCGCCATTTCAATTGAGTAAATTATAGTGTAACTTCACTCGCGTATGATATACCTCCCCGTAACGAAAGAATCAGACTCCTTAGTGAATGATTCTTACTCCTTTTGTTCTACTCACATATCGTCGATGCGCCTATCAAGTTCCCTAAATATATTATTTTAAAATATATATTTTTTTGCATCATCATCACTAACTTGGAAGATACTTTGCTCAGACATCAGCGGAATGTCTGAGCAAAGTATCTTCTTGTTAGCTCCAAAAGTCGACCATGCCTGTACTATACGCCTTTCCACCTCTGCGGTCTGGTTTGATAGGCCTAACGTTATTATCCAGATAAATATAGTGGTCAACAATATCTTGCCCTTGGAATATTCGTCATGAGTTTGCTCTTTGATACGTTCAATTTCAGGCCAACTATTTCCGATTTCTTTTGTAGGTCTCCAATCGTTGACAACATATCGTCGACATTGTCGAATAAGATAACAATATCATCCTCGAATCTCAGGTTCTTTAGCCTATCTCCTTCCACTGGCATTTTCTGAACACATTTTCAAGAGCTGCGTTGAATAGTTTCAGCGACATTGACGGACTCCACGACCAATCTTGAACGGTTCGGTTTGTTTGATGAGTTGTATGTACCATTCAGCAATCCTGCAGTCCGCAAGAGTTTTTTTCAGCTTTTTCAACATTCAATAGAATTAAATGCCATCTCATAGTTCACAAAGGTAATAATGAGTGGAATACGATACTCGATGCATTTTTAAAAACCGTTTTTCAGTTCCTGGAGGTAATAGTTAGTTCCGAATCCAGAGCGGAATCCAGCTTGCTCACATGGTTGATATTCATCAAGTTTCTTTGTGAGTCGGTTTACAATAACACTGGTAAAAAGCTTATACAAGAGTGAAAGAAGGTTTATTGGTCTGTAACTGTCAAGTTTATAATTGTTTATAAAAACCTTAAAAATATAAAAGTGTCACATTTCAAAATCGCATATAAAATATTTCACAAAGGGTGCTAAACTAGCAATGGACAGTTTTTTTACGAAAAAAAAATCTAGTTCTAATATCTATAGCCGATTGTCTATTACTTATATGTCTTAATGAATAATGAATTTCTTTGATTCTGCATTATAAGTTTATTATTATTTCTTGCCATTTGTTTAATGAACGATTTTGTTGTTGTTTCCCAAAACCTTAATAAAATTACATAGGGAACTTGTCAGGCGCAGCGACGATATGAAATCTACCTAAACTTCATAAAAACTTAATTTATTCAAACAGTGACGGATTAAGCCAGAGCGGTTCCTGTAGAAAAATTTTTGAGGGGATCTTGGTTTGATCGAAGTCAAATGTTGGTGTGTCTATGTTACGCTCAAAGATCGAAAACGCTCAGTGAGCGGAAAAATAGCTCACAACGCGTTGTGGTCACAGTAAAACATCCACATGGCGAAATTCGTGTTATGGCTCTAATGAAAACACGCACGACACGTTGTGGCAATCACAGAAAGACCAAATAGCGAAATTCGTGTCGTGGCTGACATGCTATTCGATCTCAACGCGTTGTGTCAATCACCTAATACCTATATCTTTCATGATAACGATGACGAACAATCGGAATCAGTTTCCGAATTAAACAAAACAACTAATCTGTGACATGAGTTTATTTGTCATTTTATATATAAGTTTAGACAGAAAATATAAGTTTAGACAGAAGCGTGGCTTATTTTATTTCTTTCACTTTTTTTAACACTGATGGAAAACTAATTTTTTGGAAAACGCGCGGTGCCCGTAGCATTTGCTACTTTTGCTACGTGGCTAATACGACACTGTCTACCAATAATGCATTTTAGCCGAATTCGTCCACGTTGTTTTAGTTTCCCTTTCCGTGTTTTAACCTCGTATATACTAAACTACGAATTGCTAATAATTGTTAAACAGTCTAAACTGAGAGATAACATTATACATTTTCCTGATTGTCAATGCCAGGAGCTTAGAACTGGGGCGTTTATATTTTAACTATAAATTGTAAAATATCTAAGGGATGCCGATTTTCAAGGTTATATTATTGTTCTCTAATTTGAAAATTATATCTTTATATTTCTACATCAAAGGCACTTGTTAATATTTATGTATTGTAAGCCTGAGGTTTTGGCAGGTGGCCGGACGCGCCTCGTCGGCGCCGCCGTCTGTTTGCTAGCCACTCCCGATCGTCGCTGTACTCATGCCACCCTGGTACTTTTAGGGGATGAGAGCAAACAACGGGGAGTTTATGCAAAAATAACGACCGACTAGGAAGGTTTTCTGACCAGTTTTTAACAATGAAGTTTTATTTCATTAACGAAAATTTTCAAATATGTATAAGATTAAGTATTATTAATAAACATTACGTCTATACTATTTATGGACTATACTATTTATATACTCACAAACCAAAGCATATACTAAAGGCCAAAAAGTATGTAAAAAGAACAACAAAAACTACTTCAACATAGATACTATGTCTCCTGCCAGCTAGGTTGTTACATCCCTCTTTTGAAGGAGGTTTTATTTAAACGAGCCTTTATGCTATAACAGCGCTCGACGGGGAGTTCGGGGTTATTTTCATGGCACACAGCTGAAAGTGAAGGGAAAAGGCTTTGTTTTAGTAACTAATTCTACGTAAGTCGTAAAAATCGTGTTTAATATGCAGAATACAACAACAACAACTGCTTTACATTGAAAATTTATCATTATAAATATGTGTGTGGGCATATTTTACCACTAAGCTAAAACCCCACCTTATTTCCTAATTATTAACTTTTCTATATACCATTAGAATCACAGTCCATTAAAAATCGTTAATGGACGACCAAATGAATATTCACCGATCAATCACAGTACTAGCCCCAAAAGCCGCCATTATGTTGTTTGCTCTATTAAAAGGGGCAAAGGAAACAAACAAGGATGGCTCCCTCTATTTGGTAAGTGCCTACTCGATATGTGCATTTATAATGGTAACGGGAAGTAAATTAACTGTTAGATGGTTATGAGCTCCTAGTTAAGAAGTGTTGATATTCTCTTTTTAAAACTAAATCGTCTAAACAATCGATTTAATTTATTAATTCTCGTATTCCATACGAGATGGCTTGACCTATTTTGATGAAATTTTATATGTTTATTCTGTAATTCTAAGAATATATAGTATCTATTTTTTATTATTCAGTCTGTGCTTTTCCGTCTTACTGAAATTACTAGTTTTTCTCTAGAATGACTTAATAAAATAGACTTTTTTTTATCATGAAATTACGTATTTTTATGAGTGTAATAATCTACTATAATATCTGAAAGTAACATTTTATGTTCGTTATTAATAAGTAAATCTTAGAATAAAAGTAACTCGAATATATCATAAAATTTTTAATTTTTGCATGTATGATGTCAATTCAGGTTTATTTTACCTCTAAAAATACGAGTATCTACTCTCTCTGTAAAATAATGTTATTTTAAGCATAATGTAAGCCAAAGAAGAGCCACTTTGGTTCTTAGGCAGGCTTTGTGCGGGAAGCAAACTATGAAAGAAGCACAAGATACTCTTAGGTAGAAGTTTAGGTAAAACCGTCACTGATTTATTTCTTTGTTGCCAGCAGCAAAACGTGGCATAAAGACCATTTATATATTTCTCTAATACGCAGTGCATGTACGTAAATTAATTTACTAGGAAGAATTTGATTGTTTTTATGATTAGTTCAAACAAAGTAAGCAAATACTAGGAATATATAAACTCTAGGAAATCAATCCGGCGACTTCAGCACGCGTACCCACCAGATGTACGGTAATTCAATATACAGGCTGCGTTCGTTTTTTGTTTATCCGCGCAGAAAGTGCTTTCCGTTCGGGATGTACCGGCCTTTCGATTGTGAGCACCTTTTTTGCTTCATTTTATTTTCGCTTCGTAGTCGACGGATTGGCAGTTACTTAGTTGCTGTGACAAGACTTTCGGTAGAGTATATAGTTATGTGTAATATAAATATTATTCTCATTTTTTAATAAATTATGACGTAATCACTCACATCCTTTATTTACAGTACAATGAAATTAATTGAAAATGTATAAAGATTTATTCAAGTAAACTTATTTCAAGCATTTCTGAATCGTCCAAAAATTTTTTTTCCCCTACCACTTTTTCAGAACATCTTTAAGCTGACAAGAATAATAAGCCAAAGAAACTTAGCAATCGCATACAAAATTTAGATAATAAAAATAAAAGTCAAATTCAAAATTGTCTTTTTTTAATTATAAAGAATTTATTCACAAATACTTCATTGTTCAATATTTTACTAGTAACTTTTACATCAGAATTTTACAGAATGCATTGATTGAAGTGCTGCAACGAAAACTGTAAGCAATTCTCATATATTCTATTAAAAATCTGTACGCTCTTAATTTTATTTAGTATGAAACCTTTAATTTGAATCCCACAGGAAACTCTCTGATCCCGCTACGCGGTGTCAATTCATGGCGTGACCGCGTCAATAAGATCGCTGATTTTATGCTCTAGCTACTTGCTCGCCTCGGTACAGACGCATACAATCTGAAAATATATAAAAAAGGAAAAAATAATAATAGAATATCATTAAAAAAAATGTTCTTTGACAATTTAGTACTGACTTTAATAATGTAAAAAAAATCGTGAAAGAAAAAATCACTTACAGTTGCACAAACGCCATTAAAATTGACATTAGTATAAAGCGACATTACCCATACGACTTTGACATTCATTAGAGCTTATAGGCGTCATTAATCCTTAATGGACTTTTTGCAACTCACCGATAATGAAATAGGTCCACCATAAAATTTACGACGACTGTCTTACAAACTACTTGCAGTAACATAATTAATTATACAAATATTGATTATATTATGTAACCGTGACTAGACATAGGCATCTACTATAAGAAAGTTTTTTTTTATATATAAAATGGAGGGCAAATGACTGCGCTCCACCTGATGGAAAATGAATTATGATTATAACCTTTAAT